CCCCAAAACCCCAAAACCCCAAAACCCCAAAACCCCTACCTAATCTCACTTATTGAAATTTTAAATCAGACATATATTATTATCTATTGTATAAAAGATGATTCAAGACTCTTCAGGGACATCAGTCATGGTAAAGAAGCAGCTGAGCAGGAACAAGAACAAATGGCTTCGAAGAAAGGAGCAATGGCAGTCGGTTAATTCTACATTTAACTCGATAAAGTAAGTGGAACAGGGTTGGGTTTTGTGGGGGATTTCTTGGGTTTTTATGGGGATGTAGGAGTTTAGGATGGGAATGAGGAAAGTAGAGAAATGAGGGTTTGGAGAAGGTTGAGGGGGTTTAGGAGGATTTTAGAGGATTTAATGGGAAATTTTGAGCTAGGTGAAATTTTATAGATTTAGCGAGTTTAATAAATATTTGGTATTGATTTGTGATATAGGAAATTTCAAAGGATAAGCTTTAGCAAGCTTATCAGAGAAGGCTCACATGAAAGATATAGTGATTTTGAGAAGAAATTTTCACCTACTAAAAGATCTCTAAATAAGAATCTAAAGAACAGTCTTCTTACTTTAAAAAAGAAGGCTCATACAGCTCCTAATACCCAAAACTTAAATCGAAGAAGGCAGAAGTTACTGAACAGCTCCAAGAAGCCCATTATTCTACTGAAGCAGAGTAGGGAGATGCTACCAAATGTAAAAGAGCTTTTGAACCCTGCCTTCCTTCCAAATGGAAAAAGTAAGGAAACTCAACATTAATAATTTACGCAATTTTTGGCTTGGGGATCTTAAAGTTACTATTTTGAAGCAAAATTTTTGGGAGTAGAAGACCAACTGTATAGCAAGGGTTTGGAAAGCTAGAAGAGATGGGTGTAGAACTTGATGAATGTATTGTTTTGGAATAGTTTAGCAATTTAAAATAGTCAACTTGAAAGAGGAATTCGCCACAATTCTTTACTTATAATGGTTTGAAAGAGTTTTACATTTTATATCTCTGCTCATTCATTCTATTCTCTGTTTCTTCATCACCTAAAAATATCAGAAAATTCTAATTGTCATTTTCAATTCATAAATACAATTTTTGACTTATATTTCCAGAACCTCTCCGTCCAATGGTATCTATAAAAAACTACAGACACAAATTCACAGAATTAGAAAACAAAGGTAAGTTTGGAATTTTTTATAGTCATTTTACGAGATTAGTACAATTATTTCCTTTAATAATATATCTCTAATAGATCAGGGAATTAAGGATAATAAAGCTTCCTTCACACCAACACAGAAAGAGACAAAACAGAGTCCTCTTTTAGCTTCTGAAAGTACATCCTGAAACAGCCCAACAATGAAGTTCCATAAGGAAGATGCTCTGATTGGCGGTTTTAAGAGAGTTTCGAACTCATTAAATCAGTTTAAAAGTTTAAGGAATTCAGTCCTCCCTCCTCATCCATTTTTGAGCTCAAATGAGAGGTAAGCCCTGATTTCAGCTATGAATGTTTCATATTTGAATTTTATGAATTTCCCGATTTCTGGAAATATTCGCTGGATTTGATAATTTTCTAATTCAAACATATCTTCTAGGAAGCCAAACCCAAATTCATTGATGAGTGCTTTACTCAAAAGGTCGATAGACTATAGTAAAATGTTTGCCTCAAGCGATCGCTTACCTAACATTTCCTCATAATTAATGTTTCCATTGGCTAAAAGGCACAGGGGTTTTGGGGTTTTGGGGTTTTGGGG